CGCACCAGATATGTACCGGGTTACATTGTCCCTTCATTGCACTTACAAACTGTACCACTTCTCCAGATATTCCACTGAGAGTCGTTTGGCATTTGGTTCACTGCCTTGGATTTCTGGCAAACAGAAGATCAAAGCCAGCTCCCTAAACCAGGAAACTCATATGTGTCCCTGGTCAGGACTTCAATCCCAGCCTCTGCATCCTTTACATGGGTATGTGAGGACACGAGCATCAAGAATGAGACTGGCTTGAACACGAGGTCCTTGCTAGAGCTGCAGAAATTTATTGCAGTCTCGATGGTGTCCCGTTGTCCTGCAGACAGGAACGAGCAGAAGTTGCAGCTCAAGACTGTCACAGGCTCTGCCAACTTCTCTGCCCGGACATCCTTGGTGTTTAAATCCAATCCAGTTCTGAGGCGCGACTTGACAATAACTATATGTTGCTTCTGTGTGTGTGTGATGTGATGGTCTGACCTGGGTTCGTTTCTGGCGAGCAGCGTGTGGCATATTATGGTACTAGAAACATTGGCATTGGGTATTGTATTATAGGTTTTGGTAAGACAAAAATGACAATAAGGCACTCAGACTCAGACTCTGACAATCTAGAATCCAGATGATATCGTTAATTCAGCAAAGGATTGACTTCAATTAAGTTTATATAAAATATAACTTAATATATACAGAGTACAGCCAGCACAGCAAAGACTACTCAAATGATTACTTACAGTTCAAATAATACGACTTTTCGACTGCAGTTGTAACCCCTGCTAGGGATCTTTGGCAGAAGACAGTGGAGGTGTCAAAGAGTGTGCTCGACTTGAAGCAAGCGAAAGACAAGGCAGTCAATTTGACCAACTCCTTGAAGGAATTGACCAGGGCTGTGGTGAAGCTGGAGCCCATGTCCAAGGAGATTGCTCAAAAGTTCAAAGCCCTCAGCTCCCTCCCAGACTGCCAGAACTTGTTGCAGGACTCCAATTAAGGATCAAAGTGAGGACCACCTCACTCTGTCAACCGAGCTCTCAAATGCTGCTATGACGTTCCATGAAAATATGCCGGACATGAGTGGTTCTTTCAAGACCTTTCAGGAATTCATGGGCAAGCAGTGGGTCTTTTCCAGAGACGAGGACAAAGAGATCACTGCGGCGACATTTCATTTGTCCATGGCCCATGATGAGCTGACAGCCTTTCTTGCACCAACAATCTATGCAGGCAGGGGCTAACACTCTGAAATGTTGTGTTGAAATGATGTGCCAGTGCAATGAGTCTGTGTCTTTAAACTCGTGAGCAACTGGAATCCTGCAAGTGCCTCACCTGCCAATCATTACACCTGCCCTGTCCATCCCTGTGCAAGGCTACACAAAGTGCTACACCGACCCTTCAGCATCTTCATCGGAGAAGGCTCATGCATTGTTGGTGAGTGATGTTGCCATGGAGTTGGTGACCTTCGCCACTGCAAATCCTTCAGTTGTTGATGCCTTCAAGCTGTGGCAAAACTTGTTTGCCCTCCTTGACCAGATTCCTTCACGAGAGGAGATGGACACTGTCAAGGTCATTGTGGAGGCAGTGAAACGACTCAAGGCCTTGATGGGTATTGCAGCTCGAGTGTACATCAAGAAGGTGATTGACGAGAGTGACAATTTCCAAATGGTCACAGATCAGCTCAACAAGGACTTCTCCTGCGAGCCTTTTCCAAAGAACCTGCAAATGGTGCTGGTCACTGTCTCCAAGGCAAAGGAGCTTACAGCTTACATCGAAAAGCTTGAACATCAAGGCCTTGGAGGAGCCTGACTCAGAGTACTTAACCATTGATGGAGTGAAGATCCTCCCTTTGTGTCTCAGTACGCTGCCTTGTCTGAGCTGAACATGTCCTTCCTCAAGGAGATCTACCCTGACAAACATGAACTTGCTACCCAGTTCATCGACTCCTTCAAGTCAGCCGTTGACACATGGGTGACACCCTTGGAGAAAGACACGCCAGTAGCTATCAAACTGTTGGACCCCTACAGGCAGCCTGGGAGCACAGTGGGTTAAACATGTGTTGTTTAACTGACCGACTCTTTAGTTTTTGCGTTGAGCATTGGATCATTTGGTATCAGGAACTTCCCCGACATCAAAACTGCAATGGTCCATTGTCATAGTCTTAGTCCTAGTCCATAGTCCATGATTCATGATTGAAGACCAGGATGGTTTGGAGGGTCAGGTGGCCCTTTCCGGCTTATTGTTCTGACAAGTCTCTCGTCCCATGATAACCACCTGTGGAGACTGAGAGTGAGGTTAAATTGGACTTTGCTTTGGTGACACACTGATGCACTGTTTGATCACTGATGATTTGTTTTGTCTGACTTTTTCTTCAGGCCTGCAGTGGCAGCGGCCGAGAGCTGGGATTTCGATGGCTTGGGTTGGATTTTCCAGCCCCACCCGGAGCAGGCCAAGAGGAACGAGGAGGCCACAGACCAGCTTCAAGAGTACAGAAACACTTTGGGTCAGCAAGTGGGTTGCCTCAGGGCTTTGATTACTATGAAGTATGGTGCCCAAACCGCAGAGCTGGCTCGCTTGAAGGACACGTTGAAGAACATTGAGGCTCACGGCAGGGTTCAGAGGGTGTGCCTTTCACGAAGAGCAAATCCTGCCAGAGTCTTGCAGTCTTCGACCAAAGTCTGTGGCACTCCATTTAATATACAAGCCACCCCACGTATTCTGCAGACTTTTGACTGCTCACCAGTCACCATCCAAAATTGTATGTATGGCGCCAAAGGTTCAGAGATGGGGGCTCACAGTGCTTTCACATTGTTTGTATACCTTCAACTTTCAAGACTCAAGACCTGGAAAACACAGTTTCCATTGAAACACTTGAGCTGTCACTTATCACTCTCTCACTGACAGTTTTTTGTTTTTAGTTTGCGCATGCTGGAAATGTGAAACACCATCTGTGCACAGGAGTTCCGCTCTGCATGTGCCATTACTTTGGCAGTGATGGTGTGCGCTGACTTTGTCCTGAACCAGAAGGGCTACAAGGACCAAAGTGGTGGAGTCGCCAAGATCATGCAGTACATTGCCACAGTGGGCTTGTCCAAGCAAGATTTGCCCACGGAGCTTCGCAACAACTTGGACGCCAACCTTGCTGCCAATGGCAATGGCGACAAAACAGTGCGGAAGCGCCAAGCCCCAAAGGCAGACGCCAAACAGAAGGCTGCAAAGGCTCCAAAAACTCAAAAACTGAGGCGGCAGGAGGCAGGAAGCGCAAGTCGAAGTAGGTTTGAGAACTTTTGATTGTAGAATTTGTCACATAGAGACAGTGACAGAGTTGTTTCAATGGGCTAGATCCCAGGCAGAATGCCATTTTGCCAAGTGCTGTTTGGCTTGCCTTAGACGATCAGGCCAAATCCTAGGTATCGGAGTCAATGCAGTTAGATGGCCACCCGGTGCACATGTCATTGTACTTGGACATCAGCTTACTGGGAACATATGAATATGCAGACATTTGGATACTGGATACTCAAACAACCCAATTGTTCACTGGTGTCTTTCATTTGCTAACTCTGTTGTCCATATGGTCCACATTTAAATGTGTTTCATGTTTGTGTGGTGCATGTGTGGCTATGGGTAGTTTAGATAGACCCACCTTTTGCGCATGGGGACTCAACACCGGCCCTGAAAGATTGGCCTCATTGAGTCAAGTGCACTGCGGGGATGCAAATTGTCACCAGAGCTCCGCCAGACTCGGAAAAAGAAGGGGCTGCAATTCCACAGTGCACCCCCCAAAAAAACTCTTCAAATATTTAGAAGAAGTTGCCGGGATAATATTGCTGTGAGGAATTGCTGGCAATAATTAGGTATTTCACTGACAGTTGAATCCAGGTTAGATTTGGTGCGCAAGAACTGCACATCTGAAGTGTGCATGGCAGGTTCGATGTAAGTTCAATGTTGCCCAAAGAAACCCGTTAAAATTCAACTTAACACATTCCTTACACCTGCAGGGTTGTCACCAAATTAGGAATTAATGGCGGCAACACCACCTGAACTATCTTAGGGAGAAACCACCATAACCCTAGCCAAAAAAGAAAAACAACACATAAAAGCAAATAGCTCTAGAAAAAAACAAATAGCCCTAGCAAGAAAAGCAAATGGCTCTAGAAAAAAACAAATAGCCCTAGCAAGGAAAGCAAATAGCTCTAGAACAAAAACAAATAGCCCTAGCAAGGAAAGCAAATAGCCCTAGGAATAAAGCAAGTAGCCCTGAAATCACTCTGGGATGCTCACCATTAAAGAGGACAGTAGCCATCCCAATATATAGCTCATTAGTTGGTTGTTCACGCGCCGCTGGCTGACCAACTCTCGCCAGGAGGACCTGCTATGACAGCGCACGAGTAACCTGATTTGATGAGATTTATCCAAATGACATTGCGTAGTCGAAATCATAACATCCCTGCATCAAGCAACTGTCAGTAGCTCTCTGTTTCCGGGAAACCTCTTGGATGTCACCGTTCCTTCTTCTATTCTGACACAGCTCTGTTTGGAACATATTTAGCATGGGTTGATGGCAACTGTGGAGGAAGTGCGTCAGCAGTCTCCTCAGATGGTGCAAGCATGTGCACGCCAAGACAAACTTACTTTCTTCTGGAAAGCAAGTGGCTGCTGAGACACAAAGACTGGTCGACGATTATCGTTTGTGTGCAACAATTGTGCAACCGCCAACAACGAACTTTACTAGGAGCAAGGACGCTACTAGGGGCTCCTGGTATCGCTACTAGAAACAAGAAGCTACTAGGGGCTCCTGGCCTTACTGCTAGGAGCAAGAACGCTACTAGGCTACTCGAAGGTGAAGTGTCTGGCGCCTTGACCGGTGTGTGGAGTGAAAAGACTAGTAGTTTCTTGTTCCTAGTAACTAGTAGTAAGGCCAGGAGCCCCTAGTAGCGTCCTTGCTCCTTGTAGCGATGCCAGGAGCCTAGTGGCCAGCCTAGTGGCCCTAGTAGCTTCTGGTTCCTAGTAGTAAGGCCAGGAGCCCCGAGTGCTGGGGTGACGCTCTGCTGTGAAAAAGGGAAGTCGCGCATTTAACGGCGCCGATGTCAGTCTTCCGCCCTCGAGAGGCTAATCTCAATCCAAAGCTCTTCGAGTGAGTCTGAGATCCCGTGCGCATTTGCAATGGGCATTGCTTTCAAACATTGCTAATGCTAATGCAATTGCCACATTTCTGCAATATCTTGAATTCCAGTCCTTCTGCAAGACCTGCTTCCCCTTTGTCCTCCATCTTCCTTTCTCCAGCCAACTTGCAAGTCCTTTCCGACTTGTGGCAAATCACGGGAGACTTCAGCCATGTGATCAAGCAGGTGGTGAATTCATTCACATCTGGCTCATTCCCTCGTCCATCCCATTTAGCCAGATTCTTCGTTCCATGTTGTGTCTAATGCACTGAAAGTGCCCAAAGCAGAAATAGCCGAGCTGTGGCAGCCCAAACGATACAAATTGCAGTGTTGGAAATGAAATGGAAATGGTGTCTTGGCTTGGTCATGCTGTTGTTGTTTTGGTGAATGGGCTCTGTTATGGTGGTGCCTCGGTCGTGTCTAGGGTCTGCTGGTAACATCCAAAATCCAGGATATCATCAACATGGCGAGAAGCAGCCCAAGTCTGGCAGATGAGATCTATGTTCAGGCAAACGTTTCAGCGAAAGAACCTGCAGCCGAATTGGAATTGTTCAAAGAGGTGACGTTTGTGTCGCGCTTTTTGCATGCTGACTTGTTGCGCAGGTCATGAAGCAGCTACATGACAACCCATCAGAGCGTTCCGTCTTGTTGGGCTGGAAACTTATGCTTCGACTCTGCCAGCAGGCGCGGTGCAGATCTCAGCTTTGTTCAACCCGAGACTTTTTGGTTCCTGCGCGGTGCTTTGGCTTGAAAGGGCGCAGAACGAACATGATAGATGTATATAGGTTCAACTTAACCTCAAAGAACTCCATTTTTGAACATGCCTTTCTTCTTTCTTTGTTTCCCGTGGCAGGTGAGGCCAAGTGCAAAGTTGGAGGAGTTTGTGAGGTGGAAGTGGGAAATTCCAATCCTCACCCTCAGACGCACTTGTGGTTGCAACGTGAGAGATTTCTTGCATACATGTGTGTATATATATATATATTTGCTCGTGAAGAGCAGAGAAAATCATGGTTTATGTAAGGTAGCTTAAGGTTGCTAGCAATAAGATGTAGTTAAGCAGTAGAAAGGAAACTGCTAGCGCCATCCAGAGGCAGTAGTGCGGCGCGAGGTTTCTTCAAGGAAGCTTCCCCTGTCTGATGACAGGAGAAGCTCCCTTAGAGCACCCTCACTGTATGAAGCGGCCCCTGGATTTGTATGGAAACTAAACACAGTCGACAATCCTTGACCTTCAATACCTCTTTGTACTTTGTAGCCAGGAGGGCAAACAGCGATAATAACTATATAGATTATTGTGTTTCAGGCATTCTTCCAGTACTGATGCAATGCCAGATGCCGAAGACCCAGGGATGTTTCCAGAGGGACACTATATATATATATATGTTTATAATCATTTATATACGGTATAACTAATCAAAAAGAATTGCATATGTATTATGGCTAGAACCTCTTTTACTTCCTGCAGTCATCCCTGCTACTCCTACTTCCATTGAATCAGGGAGAAGAGTTTCTCAAAAAAATATCCAAGGCCACCAGGTTCTGGCGCCGCGTCAGTGGCGGTTCGTCCATCCATACAGCCGCCACATATACTTCAAGAACCCTAAAGTTTACGCTTCTTACTCTGTTCCAACATGACGCTTGCGGTCTACAGCGGATCGGATTGACACGTCCATTTTGCCTGGCAAGTACAGCGCGGTCAGATTTCCACACCCGTTTAAATTTATATTTTATTACGAAAGCCAGCCGATAGGCTAGACTTGAGCTCTTAGAGCGAACGAAGTGAGTTAAGGGGGTGGGGGGGGGAGGGCGCGAAAAGGCACCATTTGAGAGGGTGAACCCGGAGCTTGGCGGGGGAGAGCGCTCCAAAGCGAGGGTCAGAAAAGCAGTGAAAATGGGGTCTGGTGATGCGAGTGATGCAATGGACGCCGAGTCCGAGTAGTGCATCATTAGCGTCATGAAGGGGTCTGGAGACAATTTTTCTAGTCCTGAGCAGGGCATAGGGACTGTGTAGCTCTGATCATACCAAGGAGGACCAAGCAACGAAGAGTGAACGCTCTGGGAGCGAACGATGTGAGCCGAGCATGTCCAGTTGGGCGGGGTAGAGGCTTGGGGATAAGAGCGCCGCAAGAGGAGAAGCAAGAAAGCTGCAAGCGTTCAACACTTCATGCTGCGCTCCGATCTTGATCTCAGTCGCAGTGACGCCAGCTCCACGAAACTACAAGCTTTCAACTATAGGTGCTCTGCTATTTTTTCCTCCCGGCCCTGCTCTCTATAGGGCTTCGCATTGATGCACGAAACACGAAACACATCTCAACACAACCACAAAAACCATATCGGGCATCACTCTCCTGGTGTTCACTGACATTTATTTTTGCACGGATTCTCAAATAGAACACCAACAAGGGACGCTCCAGAAGGCGCCGCGCCAAGCAAATGAAGAATACTAAAACATTCAACACTTCATGCTGTGCTCCGATCTTCATCTACGTCGCAGTGATACCAGGTCCACGAAAACTACAACCATTCAAGAATGAGTGCTCTCCTCTTTTTTTCTCCCAGCCCTGCTCTTTATAGCGCTTCTTCGCATTGATGCACGGTGCCCGAAACACATTTCAAAACAAACAAAAACCACCATCCTTCTCCTGGTCTTCACTGACGTTTATTTTTACACGGATTCTCAAGTAGACCACCAAACAGGGACGCTCCAGAGAGCACCGCGCCACGAAAATCGAGAAAGCCTAAAACATTCAACACTTCATGCTGTGCTCCGATCTTGATCTACTCCACGTTGATACAAGCTCCACGAAAGCTACAGGCATTCAACAAGAAGTGCTCCGCTATTTTTTCCTCCCAGTCTTGCACTACCATATTGGTCTCTCGCTGGCTTTCGTCCTCTCCTTTCTCAGGCTTTCAGGTGTGGAAATCTGACCGCAACTTAGGTGTCGACATGTTGCACGTAGGATTCTAAGGGGAAAGGGTTTGTCCCGAAGTCAAGAAGCGCAACTTGTGGTTTTGTCAGGCTGACTTGGTCACTTCTTCCACACTACTAATGTTGCGCCAGGTCTTTCATCATGCAAAGCACCCACAGCAGCCATCCAGAGGCAGGAAAACTTGACTTGCCAAATTGTCGGACTCCAGAAGGCGCACGCAGCAATTCACGAAAGGTAGCTTGAGCTACCTGAGTTCTCCTTGCTTTAGCAAAAATGTATTACAATCAGAAGTTGGGATTGTGCATTGAGTTTGGTCCTGTAAGAGTTGATTCTGTTCGTCGGGGGGGGGGCCTGGATCAAATCCCCCCTGCGCCGGTTCACGCCGTCATGGACTTCTACCAGGGTTACTTGTGATTGCCTGCTACCTTTCGTTCACCCCCTCCTCTCTCAAGTGATCACGAGGTTTGTGTAGTGTAGTATTGGGAACAAAGAAGATACACTGAAACACATTCATACATTGCCTGTTACATCCTGTTACAAGAGTGGGCACAGAATCAACCTCAAGAATGACACTTCCAAGAATCAGTTATGTTGTGGAGCACTAGAGATCGTTCTCTTGCGACCTTTTGAAGTAGGATCACAGAGGTTTCTTCTTTGTCCGCCTAAAATCTAGGAACCAAATCATTAGTGCGAGCGCTATCCTGCGTCCAGTCAGTAGCTAACATAGCCTAGTAGTTTGCTCACTTAATTAATTGAGTAGGCGCCTACTTACCCAATTCAGTAAGGAGGCAGGGACACGGGCAACTGTCGTTGTGGTCTCACCTCCGAGAGGTGGAGCATACGGCAAGACAATGTGCCACTGCCTCTGTTTCGAGGAGTTAAGGGCAACAAAAGAACAGTCAATTAAATTGACCGTTTGGGACTTTTGAGCAGTGACAATTGACAATTAGTTGTATTTCCTTGTTTTCGTTCTCAAGCACACACCCTGCTGCTCTTCTTGCACTCTTCAGGTCATTTAGGGGTTGTTCCGGCTCAGGTTTCTGATCTCAACATCAATGCCACACCTGAACATCTCAATGAAGGCAGGGAGCTTAGTATTCATGTACAATATTGAAGTCAAGACTCCTTCTGGCCGTGAACTTGATACTGGTACTGTACTACCTCTTTTAGTCCAACTTCAAGGTGTCGAGCTGCGACGAGAGCCTCACATGTAACACTTTCAAGAGATAGGCAGAATATGGCAGAATGGCAAAGTAGGGTGACTTTGTGAACAAACACGGACACAAAAGTGACGCAAAAGGTTTTGTGGAACGCTTTATTCACGAAAGATCCCGAAAGCCGAAAGCCCGTTGGAAGCGCCAAAATGTCAGTAGACGTGCAATCTTACAAGTCCTGACGGTTGGTGCAACACATTGGCAGAGATTGAAGACCCAACTGTGGTTGATTGACCAGTCTTTCAAACACACTCAGATGATTTCATTGTGTAGTTTTGTATTATGGGATCTTTTGTCAATGGTTGCTTGGGACAGCAGCCCCACATGTGCCCACTTCCAAGCACACTTGTGCGTGCCTAGCACGCAGTGCCATTGGTTTTGGGAAACCTAAGCTAGCTAGCCTCAGCTAGATACCCGAGTTCACGTTGCTTTAGCAAAAGAATGTACTGTCACGGGACCTCCGCATATTGCAATGAGTTTGGAGTTGTAAGCCTGTAAGCAATGATTCTTCATTATAGGCGGAACCCTGGATTTGGTCCACACTGGTGTGGGGTCAAACTAGAGGGATCTGCAATACTTTCGCGGCTTTCGCAGGTGACCTCATTCCTGTCACTGCATCTCTGGCTTGCTTGAGGGAGCACTCAGCACTTGTCTTTGGAATGGAATGGCATCTCCGTATCGATCCGATAGGGGTTGTTCGATGCAATAATTTTTCTACCAGACAATCCGTGCATCAGGCCAAAAAACATGTCAAAAACAGGGCATATTAGAATCATCTTGATTCATCATTTCAGAACTATATAGTTCGGCTGTGCAATGATGTTGCTTCAATGTGGAGTGCATCAGTGATGCACTTGCTGGGCAGCATACAGTAGAGCTTTTGAGGTTGTCCTCATTGACCACAGTGTGAGGAAGGTCCTTCACCCGGAGCTGCATTCAGATTGAAGTCCGAAGTCACTTCGAAGTCCATCCAGTTGATGTTGCTTTGCAACACCCTGTTGGGAGTGGTTCTCCACTTGAACCTTGTCGTTTCCTTGGAAACTTCATGACGTTTGCTGATTTCTGTTGGGATGTCCTGACACTTGTACTTGTACTAGGTTCATGTGTTCAAATCTGCGGCTCAGATTGTCATAGGGCCATAGGGACTTGCAAGAGCAACAAAAGGCATTTGTCAGCCCGCCTGCGGACTGCCTCTGATCACCTACTCCTTTGCTTACCCCAGTGTATTTGTTGTGGCTTACAAGGTGTGTAGATTGATATATTGTGTGCCCCCTGAATCTCAATACCTAGCCCCAAACCATACCACGTCCTTCGGCCCGACATGCGAGCATGGCCGCGGTGCACGACTCAGAAAAGTCGGGGAAGTAGAGTAGGAATTGCCACAAAGGGAATTTGTCAGCTGATTTGGTGAATAGTCAGCAAACAAAGCTTGTATTAGGATAGGTGCCATCTTGTAAGTTACGATCTAGATGGTCTCTACTCTACATGCTGTCATATCCCTCACAATCTGAAGCAAGAATGTCTTTTGAACAAGTCAAAGGCCCCGAGGCCAGAAGTGGTACTCGAATCCCAGGACGGCCCTGGGCCATGCAACGGTCACACGAATAGTGCAACTGCAGGCAGCTGGAGTTCTTGAGTTGCCGCATTTCTGTTCTGCATCTGTTCATGTCTTAGGATCTGCTGGGATTAGATAGGATTAGTTTGTTCTGGACAAGTTACTTGTGATGTGTCACACACGTGCGAAGGGGCTTTGTTCTATTTTGCATATAGCTTCGGGAGAGGCTTCCCCTGCTTGTTTCACTAAGCCAGCTGCAAGCTCCATTGGAAACAAGATTCCTCATGAGCTCAACATGCTCAACATTTCCTAGTGTCCTTGTGCAAGTCATATTAACATATTTGTTTAAAACATGCAAACCTATTTATATATAGCTGGGCAAGTGACTTATATAGTGCAAGTTCCTACAAATCTCAAGCGCAGACACGCAATTAGGCCACATGACTCAGCACTAAGACAAACAGCATGTAGTAATATTGTAGAGTCATTATATATAATTGTGTTTATGTGTGAGCCAGAGAGAGTTCAGTTCAGGTTTTGGAGAGAGTAGACACAAGCATTAAGATTTTTTGCATGGCCGAGCATGTATGTAATTGAAAGGCGGACCCATTTGGGTTAATTCACGATGTATATATATAGAATTCATCACATCAGTAGGCCTGTTGGAAGAGGGTCAATGGCTGCTTATGTGCTTCCGTTGCATTTTGGGAATATTGGAGAGCACAGCAGCAAGCATTTGAATCTATGTCGCAACCGCACATAGCTACGTCCGTGTCTAGATGGTGAGACTCATTGTAAGCTATGAGACGAAATGTTCATCGACGCAGTTTAAAGAAAGGAAGTAGCTGGAAGGAACCGACGAGTCTGGCGATCTGCGGAAAGCCAAGAGGGGGAGATTCGCCAACGAAGGTCCAATCGGTCAGGGGTTGTGCTCCAGGCGGCGTGGCAATAATCCCTTGATTCAACTTTGTATCATCCAAAGAATGGTTTGGAGCCTCTTGTTCATCAAGTACAGTAATTTTGTTTTAGGTTTATAACGGAAGATCTCAAGAAAAAGAGCTGAGAATTCCTTTTGCTGGTATCTTGTGAAGACCTTCCAGTTTGGGAATCCCCAGTTTGCCCATGTGGGAGGGCTTGGGAGGACCAAAATTCGTTATTATGACGACTGCGAAGTGCTGTACATGCGAAATCCTGTGAGGGAACAATTGTCTTTATGGAGCCCTGAACGTTTGTCAAAGAGCTGTGACCTTTCATCTCCATTGAATTGTTGATTCCAACAGCTTAGCAGGGACCAACGTTGGCCGGTGCCTTGTCACACTCGCCACAACTGTAGTTTCATGCCTTTTTCTTCGCCAAAATCTGAAGACTAAGACCAAGATTTGGTTGATTTGGTCTGTTAGCCCTAGGCTTGTTTGCGTGGCTGAATAGAATTGAGTCCGATTATTCTTCTGAACAAAAGGGTTGTCAGAGGTTGTCAGAGAAAATTAGCAGAACAGATGTGCAAGTTCTACTGTGAGTGTCGAATCGTTGACCTTCTGACCCAGACTTCAATTAGTAGTCAAAATTACATGCACCTTCGATTGTGCTGTAATGTAAATGTTGATATTGATCAGTGAGTAGGTCTTAGTCGGGCTAGCCTAGCTTCTTGGTTTGGGACCATGATAAATTATTTGCATCAGGCCGTTTGTTGTATGCTTGACGCTCCAGGATCCCCTGAGCTTGCAGAGACAATGCCAACTGCAAGTGGTGACATGCCAAGAGCCCAGAATGGTCCAAGGGGCGATGAATTTCACGGCCTTCTAGAAAACAATGGTAAAATATGATAAATATATATATAATATATATATTGAAAAGACACGGAACAACACAACACTCCACTGGCGATGATTGGGAACTGGAGCGGACGGAAATGCTATCCTCAGGATAGTGGTCACCTTCCTGCCCTCGGTAACCTCTTCAGAAAGGAAACCGCTCTTTGACTCAACTAGCAACTAAGTCATACTAAGTTCAAGTAGTTTGCGCATGTTGCTGTTTGATCTTTTGACGAATAGCGAGGAATAGCTGGATCTCTGCACACTTTAGTCTCAGGACCAGTAAAATCCGCCTGGCGAAGCCACTGGCAACTTCAGAATTACACTGATGCGGAAGCAATACATGCATCTATGAACCAGTTGCAAAGCAAGGAAGCACAAAGCACTTGTCACATACAGTGCATGCAGTTTCTATTATAGATATATACAATGTTTTTATTTGTTGTTACATGTTTTTACATATATATATATATGTATGTATATGTATACATTTAACGAAGGCTCAAGGTTTGGGCTCAAAGGAAGGGAGCCACCAACCCGCCGGGCACTACGCGTGGACACGGCGAAGGTCCCGGAAAAGGAGAAGGGTGGCAATGCGCCGACAATATCAAGTCTGCGCCGGATGCAGAAGCTCCTGGATCTGGGCAGACCGGTTGATGCACAAGCCTGGACTGGTATGCAATCAATGCGGGAAGAAATGGCAGCAACTACAAGTCCCTGATCTTCGACCACGCCGAGTAGAATGGGCCAGCTGGAATTTCCCGAAGAAAGGTCAGCAATGGCCAAAGAAAACTTACAGGGAAGCCTTGATTACACCACCACCTGGACTTCAAGGCGGCAAACCCAACAGAGCACCTTAAAATTGAAAGGCATCGGGAAGAAACTACAGGAGCATTGGACCAACATCCCGGACACCCTGAAGAAGCAGTTGGAGGAGATGGGCATCAAGGGAGCAGAACCGGCGGCTCCGCCGGATTTGCCCACCTTGATTAAGGACCACTTGGAGAGCCTTCCAACAGTCCTCAAAGAAGAAGTTGAAAAGATCATCCAGCCCACGAAGATGGAGCCGCCCGTCAACCAGAAGCTCAAACAAGCGGTTGGGACCCTCAAGCAGCTTTCGGAGAAGAAAGCTGCAATCCAGAGCAAGGCGGATGCCATCAAGCACCAGTACACACAGCTTCTCAACGAGCTCAAGGAGACACAGAGCAAGATCGAAACGGCGCAGAAGGAACTACGTACAAAAGACCACAAATCTCTACAACCAGCAACTAGAGCAGGAGAAGCAGGCAGCAGAAGAACCCCTTCCAGAAGAACTGGCAGCAGAAAACCTGCTGACCGTGATGGCCAATATTGGCCTATCCGCTACCACGGATCAGGTCAAAGAGCTGGCACAAAAGCTGAGCGAGAATGTTATGAAGAGAAGGAAGTGTGGGTAACCTTCACGAGGTTTCTCCGCAGCCCAACCTTGACAGAGCACAGAGAGCATGTGGCACTCACCTAGGGGAAACAGGTGGTTTGAACATATGCACACTGGGGTATTTTGGCTCAGACCACACGGGAGGGGATGCCCGTGTGAATGCAGCCACATGGGGAGCTCCTGCTGATGAAGCTATGGAGCAACGAAGGGAGACAAACTTCCCTCAATTTTGTGGAGGAGTTCAAAACCTGGACTCCATGAACTCAGACAAGGACATCAACATGAAGGATGGTGCACCTCACGAACCGACACACACATCAACCAGCACTTGCAGCTCCCTAGACTTTGTGGTCCAGAATCTGCAATGTCGACTGGGGAATTTTCGGAATCGGTGTTTCGCCAATGGGCCCTTCAGATTGTGGGCTTGGGCCGGAAGCATCTGGCCAACTCCAACAAGGTGATCACACAATACCACCATGTGGATCATAGACAGGCAGTGCACCTCAGAGCGGCCTTCCCGACCCATCTCATCTACCCGGAAGATGGAGGTGAAGAGTTCGAAACTTTGATATCCACATGGGCCAACACAGCAGAAGGACAAGTTCTCTCAGGCAGAGGACTATGGGTGGCTCAAATTGGGCGATACACCCATCGGCAAGGCGAATGGACTAAGCACCACAAGATGTTGCAGGTGCCAACAATATTTCAACTGCCGGTTTGCTTGGATGGCGTGACCACTACGACTGAGCAGTACTCCTTGGTGGGGCTTCTATGCCATTCAGGTGATGCACACCACAGTGGACATTTCTACGCAATCTTTGTCTCCCGGGGACTTTATTGGTTGGTGGATGACGGCTCATATCCACGAGCTCTACCAGTCCTGCAAGAGAACATCAAGCAGCAGATAGTCCAAGTGTGGGCAATCCCGTCAGCATCTCTGCTGCCGGAACACCTTCGATGTGACTTCCCCACACAAATACAAGGCAGCCAACCACTAGAACCTGAATCAAAAAGGCGGAAGCAAGATCACATCGATTTCACATTTGCCAATGTGACGAGTTTAGGGCAAGCAGTCCGGCAATGGATTGGGGGCAGAACGAGGAGTCCCTTGTTCATAGCGGAGACACACCTAGC